ATGATGCATACAATGGACTCCGGACCAGGTGCGTTCCTCTAAGTCTTCCTATCAATATGACCAAGTTGCGTAAACAAGGTCAAACAACTTGTATACACCGAAAGGAGACTGCGACCACACAAAAAGCCACACCATCTTGGTCTTCATACCTGTATCATTTATTGTTCGTTTCAAGAGTTTTGAGACTACCAGTAAATCTGTAATATGACATGTATTCAGCCTATTTCGTTTAAGGTGATGAAGGACTGATTGTAGAAACTCTGCTTATATGCGAACAATTTAATACGAGGTGACGGATGACATGCCTAACCCAAAAGGGAGGATACCAACCAATGTACTCATGAACAAGTGACTGGCACATTATGACTAGGAGCATAATCTCGACACCTTAACCGTTACGCCACACTACCATATATATATATATGATTTTCTGGTAGTTTTCAAAAACCTACTCGAAACGAAAAATAAGTAATTTCGTCGATTGCTATAGCAAATATAACTTTTCTTGATCGATGAGCCCACCACGGAATGTAATATAGCGCAATGTCTGGCCTTCCTTTAAATTCACATCTGTCCTGTGACCCAAGGGCACTCGTGGCAATGTGGCTTAGCGCTTAACGAGTCGTGGTTCGAGTCACGCTTGGGCGAGGACGAAACTGCGGTCTACTTCAGTCTGAAAGAAAATACTTTTTGGGAGAGTAAGGCTAAGCCAAATTCAATGGAATCGTTATGTCTATTCATACCATTGTGAGAAAATTCAACAACCATTTTTTCATCACTTTAAACGGATTATCCTACAGTTCATATAATGTAGGCTTGTCTCTATAAACGATGGAATCGTCGAATGAGAATGGTGATTTAAGGGGGGAATTATCAATTCTTTAATCTAACCTGGTTTGTTTTGCCTCCATCTAACGATACACCTTGAACCACGCTTGCCGTTCACTTTCCATCATTTGACATAATGCCTTTTGGTATAATGGTCGGTGTAAATGAGGGTTATTCTAGCCATACTTTATTGATATTACTAATTCTAGCATCATATCTACACCTTACATCACTTTATCTCGGTGCGCAGGTTTACCGAGAAAACATGTATTTGATCATTGCATTCTCCTGATAAAGTTAAGAGGAGATTATTTTGAGTGTAGGAATTTATTATTTACGCTTCAGACAGGTCAAGTTAATTTTTATGTTTGTGCATTAGTTGCTTCTGTGCGAGGGATATAACTGAAGTGGATTCAAGTCGATCATTCTCAAACAGATCATCCTAATTTTTGGTCCTACTTTTATCCTCCATCCTGTTATTACAACATTTAGGCGCAAAATCTTATTCAGTCTACAAATACGCCTTGAAGTATCCCGCCAAAGGGAGTTGATTGATTGTGTTGTAACTACCGGAAATGGAATATTTGCCCAAACAGAGGCACTGGATTTTGGCAATAAACAGCAGCAAATTAATTCCAACTTTAATGGCTAGCCCAAATATTCACGTTTAAATCCCTTTTACTTATTATAATCCGCCACCAATAACCTATTCCAAGATGATGTCAGATGAGCTATCAAAGCTCTCGACAACTCTCACGAATGGGATTCAACAAGCCAATCCTGAATCACTGTCTTAGTTGTCTATCCAAGTCGTGGGGGAGTCAAGGTCCATTCTCCTAAATCCATTACCCTCTGTACCACAACTGGTTTCGCACCATCGTTATTTCTTGAATACTTTGGTGTTTTTTTAGCTTCAAAAGTTAAGTAATAAACGCCTCAGATGTGTAAAGCAAAGAGAAATTTGCCTTCCCCCCTCCCTTTTAATTAATTCCTTCTTTAGTAACCAAATTATCGAAAAAAGGCAAAATTATTTTATTCCAATTCCATTCTAGACTTATTCCTTTCCTTACACTTGTTAAGTAAAAGAAATAATTGACAGAATAGTATGAATTTTGGGATCCTTTGGGTATGGATTTCTCAAGTTGATTCACTATTACGTAATTATTTGAATATTCAGCTGTTCAACTATCTTTAACCACAAAATGA